CGCTACTGTTTGGAAATCAACGCTCATCTGAAAAGAAAAGGCATGGAACCGTACACGACCTTTCCAATGCGAGAGTCATTGAAAATCCTTTTCAGCCGAGCATCAGCAGCAACGAACCGTGCACAACATTTTCAATTGAGCTCCATCCATTTGCCCAGCTGTGTCACCTCCGGGCCTGTCGAAGTTTCAGGGGCTCGTACTTGCACTCCCCAGCTCCTCCCCATCTGACCCTTGGTTGGGTGTAGGTGAGCGTTTTGGCGCCCTTAACGGTCACGGGCGCACCCCAAAGTGAAAACTTGAAATCCGGGCATGTATTGGACGCTAAGGGAATGTTCGGGTGCTCCAAGGCTGACTGAGACACACTACACACACGAGATTGGCTAGAAAACGCTAAGGGAAAAATCCACTTGGCGCGCTCTCGTGCAGGCTAAGGAGAAAGAGGGGGGGGGGGGGGGGTCTCTGGCAGCCTAGGGGGGGGGTCCTACGATCGGAAACCAAAACTTGGATAAATGGGAAGGCCTAGTTTCGTCCCTTAACGCATTCGGGGAAGGGTCGAACGAAGCACTTAGTGGCACGGGTGGGGTGCGAATCTAAAACTTGACGCATTGGAGCTGGAGCGAAACTAGCCCTTAATGTTCAAGGCATTAAGGGCATATGCCCTTGAATCGACAGGCCTGGTCACCTCAGCCCCATTCCAGCACGAAATTCAGCCAGCTGGGTCCACAATTTACTTTTTTAACTGTCAAATCTGTCATACCTCGGAACCTGGTAAGCTCATGGCTCCATGCAGCAGCGAGGAGCCTGGTTGCTCGGAACGCGCGGTAACTCCCAGGAATTCGTGAAGAATAGCGTTTTGAAGAACCCTTGAGGCTGCTATGTTTGGAGGCCGGAGGCTCACATCGTCATCGAAGCAGCACATCCAAGTTAGTGAAATCTATGTTTTGTAGATCAAGGTGACATCCTCCCTTATTCCCTCTCCGTTTCCATTTCAGCACGTCTAGATCTGTGTGTGTTTCGTAAACCAAGTTGAGTGACATTCTCCATTATTCCTGCTCCATTTCCATTTCAGCACGTCTTTACTTGTCTCGTTCATTCCCGCAACGTCGTCATTCTTGAGTTAAGACAGTTGATATGGAGAGTTGCACGCACATTAATAGCCTTCTTGACGACCTCCTCGTCTGGATTCTATGGCTTCCTCCTACCAAGAAATCGCATGTAGAGCCGAAAGAAGTTTGGTATAAGCCTGTTCGAGAATTTGCTGCGGACGAAACCAGAAAAGCTGGTGCCGACCCCTTCTGCCTTCACGGATGCAGCTTCTATCTCCAGATCGCAGCTGTCTGCCAGCAATGGCGTCGACAAACTAAGCATCACGTTTCAACGCTTTTAGTTAGAGAGGGACTGATTTTGTCTCTTGATGATCTCTCCAACACAATCTCCTGCTTCCCGAACCTGACCCATCTCCATTTGTGCGACGCCAGCGTAGAGAGTCTAGATGGCGCGTTTCTCACCCATCTTGCTTCGTCATGCCCCAAGCTGAAGACATTCCACGCCGGATTCGGGATCATAGTGCATTATGATGAGAGGAAGGAGCTGCATCCAGTTAGTGAAGCTGATTTGGATTGTTTCTTCCAGCAGTCTTCTCAGCTCGAACATCTTTCACTCCATTGCCTTCATAGGAGCGTCAAGCTCCCTGCGTCGTTTTTCCACCTATCAAATCTCCAGACTCTAGTGCTACCAAATTCTTCCGCTTTAAATGTTCCCGCTTTCAAGAACCTGAGTTTCCTCACTGCGCTGTCCATTTCTTCTCCATATCTTCAACATCAACAACTATCAAGCCTATCTCAGCTTGTGAATCTTACCAGCCTTTCCTACTCCACAGACGATTTCATACGTTCAGCTACTTCGACCCCAATTGCTTTTAGCATGGCGTGGTTGCCTGGTTTGAAGTCGCTGGAATTCAACGAAGGGTATCTGCGATTTGACCCAACGTTTTCCTCTGGACACCTGTGTAGTCGGCTCGAGCGGCTGGTGATTGTTAATTGCAAGCAGTTCGAGCGTCTTCCTGACAACATTGGGGAGCTTGTACCGTCTCTTCAGGAGCTGAGCATTCGCTGTGCGGATCTTGTTGAGCTGCCAGATGACTTCACATCTTTAAGTTGTTTGGAGAGCCAGATTATCTCTGGTTGCAGATTTTTTTCCAGCCTCTCTGACGACTTTGGGCAACTGCCTGCCCTGAGAACATTGGTGCTGGATGACCCTACCGATATTGCACCTCCCTGATTCGTTCTGTAAATTGATGTCCTTGAAAACACTGCTTCTGATCAACTGCATAACAGTTCGCCAGCTACCAGCCGATTTCTGCAGCTTAACAGCTATCACGAAGCTGGTCCTCAAGGGGTTGCCACTAACAACACTCCCAATGGACATTGGAGGGCTCACTAATCTCGAGACTCTTCTTCTGTACAGGACCGACGGTAGCAGCTACGGCCAGCAGCAGTTTCCAGCCTCGTTCACCGTACTCTCTTCTCTGAAACGGCTGAAACTTCATGATTGCATGATAGGCGAGCTTCTAGAAGACATTGGGAAGCTAAACAGGCTGCAAGAACTGACCATTAGCTCCTGCGCTATCAAAAAGCTCCCAGAGGCCGTTACATGCCTTGTTGATCTACAAGTGTTGGCGATTGGTTGTTCTGAAGGGATTTCGGCACCCAAGAGACTGGACAACTGTAAGAAGCTGAAAGTACTGAAGCTTCCAAGATTCGCAATGTCGTTTGAACCTTTGGAGGCGCTGTCATCCTCCCTTGAGACTTTGAGCTTGGGGCACTACAGAACCTCATTTCTGAGATGGATGGGAGGTCGTCTGGTGTTTGAAGCGACGAGATTAACGATGGGGGCCCATGTGGAGTTTGAAGAGGCGATCAGTAGAAACTTGGTGCATCTGAAGCACTTGAAGCTGGTATTGGAAGGAGATGCTGAGGAGATTCCATTTCGCTTGGGAATTTCTCCCGACCTGCGCACCCTGAAGATTTCAAAAGCCAAGAGCCTGAAGGAACTTCCAGGCATTGGATTGGCAGTGCAGCAGCTACGGAACTTGAAGTTAAGTGATGCGAATTTGCTGACCGAGCTGCCAGCATCGATCACCATGCTTCATCACCTGGCGTCCTTGAAGATTCATGCAGCCAAGCTAACTTCCATTCATGATTCCATCAGTTGTTTATTAAGGCTGCAGAAACTCAAATTTCCCGAATGTGCTTCATTGGAGCACCTTCCTTCATCTCTTACCCGACTATCTTGCCTCTGGAAGCTGAATTTGCAATGCACATCAATTCATTCGCTTCCTCCCAACTTTGCACAGTTGTCCAGGCTTGCAGTACTAGATCTGTCTTGTTGCACGCAGCTAGAAGCACTGCCGAAGGACTTGATCAAGCTGATGTTGCTGTTTGAGTTGGACCTTGGCCAAAGCAGGCATCTGTTTGACAGTGAAATGCGCTTACAGCCCCCTGAAGTCGAATTGATGTATGGTTTACAACTAGATTATGTTTGCTGGGGCTAGGTTGTGATTTCAGTGATTATATTTTTGGAAACTGTTTTACTTCTGCATGCTAAATGTTTTCCAGTGACAATTTTGCTGAGCTTGTCTCACAATTGAGGGGGTGGGTTGAGGCTAGGAAAGGTTTCCCTTACTCTGTACAGTGTTTGTCTCACATACCACTAAGACTCTGCACACCTATCACCTGCACGCAATTGCATGCCCCTCACACAGCCCATACTGGTTGTACCTCCATCAAGGTATTTCCAGACATATCCACTTACCCCTGCATATGCTTCCATATGTGGTGTGAGGAAGGAAATGTGTGCGTACATGGAGTAGTGGGGAGCTATAGTAATGCTTACAGTCCTGTTACCAGTAGGTGAGTCATACTTATTACAAAAGTGGTTATGCGCATTTGAGCCTAATTGTGATCGCACACCTTTGCATACCCTTGCATAAGCGTCTTCATGCATCTCTGGACAACGTTCCCATTACAGATTGAATAGTCTAGCATGCATCTCCATGTATCCTTTGATGCATTCGCATGGCCCATTACAGATTCTCCAATGCATCCCTACACATTCATGCATATTTCAATACTGCATGGTTTGGAAGCGCATTTTCCCCAAATTGCTCCGATTTCCCTGTTCCCTTTTCTCCTCATAATGCCCCTGCTCCATGGTGTGTTGCCAAAACCTGGGAAGCTGATACGACCCATCAGTAGACAGCAGTACTGTGTTATGCTATGGGGCAGGTCTAGGGGCGGAGCTCTATGCTATAGCTGTGGGCATGCTGTGATGTGAACATCCTGATGCGCTGGTTGCTTCTTTTGAGGCGCCTCAGAAATTGAGAGGGGGGAAAGGGGTAAGGCGGGGCAGGGCACTATGGCTGTGGGCATGCATTGACCATAGCAGACCTATAACTTTTGAGGCGCCTCATGTGAACATTCTGATGCGCTGGTTGCCTGCATTGACCAGAGCAGACCCATGAGGCGCTCTTTCAGTTTATTCTCTCCGCAGCGTCACATCATGTCAGATCAGTGTATTCTCTCCGCATACATTCCCTCCCCCACTCAACCCCCGCCCCCCCCCCCTCAGGTGAAGGAGTATTGTGGGGGGGCAGGAAGTAGCTGCAAGATGCTGTTGCTGCACTCAGTGAGACGCACGTCACATCATATCAATCCATACTCTCCCCAACCCATTCCCCTCCCAACTTTTGAGGCGCCTCAAAAGTTTCTGTTGCTGCACTCAGTGAGACGCATGTCACATTCTAATATCAATCTATACTCTCCCCAACCAAATCCCCTCCCGACCCAACCCCTCAGGTGGAGGAGTATTGTGAGCGGGCAACAGGCAGCTGCAAGGTGTTATTGCTGCCGTCGTTGAGAGACGCACTCCATCCCAAGCCACTCTTTTCACAATATACTCTTTTCCCCCTGTAACCGTCTCCTTTCTCCCTCCGCTCTCAGATGGAGGAGTATTGCGAGCGGGCAGGAGGCAGCTGCAAGGTGTTAATGCTGCCGTCGTTGCGAGACGCCCACCACACCATGATCTTTCCTCAGGTATGGTCTCAGGTGCCCCTTCAGATGCCCTCATGGCCTCTTCAGGTGCTCTCGCTGGTGCCTATTCAGGGTGTTCCTTCAGGTGCGCCACTCTCACCCGTGCTCCGTGCTCTTTCAGGTGCCATTTCAGGTGCAATCTCATGCGCCCTCTCAGGTGCCTGTTGCTTCCTACCCATGCTCTCCTACTATCATTTCACTCACCCATATTCCATGACATGTGACTGGGCGTATTAGGCATGGACATATGAGGCATGGACATATGAGGCACGGGCGTATGAGGCCAGTTATATGAAGCATGGGTATATGAGGCATGGATATATGAGGCATGGGTATATGAGGCATGGGTATATGAGGCATGGGTATATTCTGAATACTCTCTTACATATGAAGTGTCTCAATGATTCTTTGGACTGCTTGGATTCTGACTGAATTCCTTTCAATCCCTTTAAACCCCTCTTTCGCTCTCTCCCCCTCCTTGCCTGTGAGCAGCCTCCCTTCGACTCGTCTGACTTTGAAGACCCCCGCAAGCAAGTCCTCACACTCGGAAACCCCTCCGCATTCACACTGGATAACCAGGTAGGCGTTGCTTTGTTGCTACTACACTCTGCCGTTTCCCCCTGTCCACTCCCTCCCAGTTCGGCATCGCCTGCTCAGGCGCACTGACATCCTGAGGTGACTTTTGAGTCGACTCAAAAGCCCTCCCAGTTCGGCATCGCCTGCTCGGCCCCACTGACATCCTGCTCCCTCTGCCCTTGCCGCACTGCCCCTGTCCCGCCGCTCGTCCTTACTTGTTCTTCCCTTCCTCCCCCCCTCTCCTCCCCTCAACCCTTCCCCCGCCTTGCGCTTGCCAGCTTGGCGTCACCTGCTCCTCCACCGACATTCTCCGCCACCTCAGCAAGGAGGAGATCGCCCTTGCCCCGTTGCCCTTCCTCACCTGCTCTTCCCCCCCTGCCCTTACCACCCTCCCCTGTTTCCTCCCCCCCAGCTTGGCATCGCCTGCTCGTCCACCGACATCCGCCACCTCAGCAAGGAGGAGATCGCCCTTGCCCCCCTTGCCCTTACCCCCCCACCTATTTCCTCCCACCCAGGTGGGTATCGCCTGCTCCTCCTCTGACATCCGCCACCTCAGCAAGGAGGAGATCGCCCATTCTGTTCTCCCTCCCCTCATTCTCTTCTCCACTTTCCCCCCTCCCCCCCACCTCCTTCCCACCCCCTGCCCTTCCCTGCCAGGTTGGCATAGCCTGCTCCTCCACCGACATCCTCCGCCACCTTAGCAAGGCGCCCGCGTGGCGCCAGGAGACAGCGCCACGCCAGACCGCATGTCCAGGCTGGAGGCGCACGTGATTGGCCAGAGGAGCTTCTATCCACTCTTCCCTCCACCCCCTGCAACCTGCCTCGACCTCTCCTGCTGCCCGCAAGCCCTGGACCTTTCGTTCGCTCCTCACCTCCTATTCTTGCCATCTGACCTCGTCCCCTTTGTCAAGGTAAACCCCGTTCACCCTAAACCTCTTCTCTTTTTCACAGTCTCTTCCTCTCCCTTCCCACCTCCCCCCCAGTAGACTTGCGTCGATCTCTCCTGCTGCCCCCAAGCCCTGAAATCTCCCCGTTATCCCTCACTTCCCCTTCACCCCCCCCCCCCCCCTCCCCTTCACCCTCCACTTCCCCTTCACCCTCCACTTCCCCTTCACCCCTCACCTCCCCTTTGCCCCTCACCTCCCCTTTACCCCTCACCTCCCCTTTACCCCTCACCTCCCCTTTACCCCTCACCTCCTCTTTACCCCTCACCTGCCCTTCACCCCTCACCTCCCCTTTGCCCCTCACCTCCCTTTTACCCCTCACCTCCCCTTTACCCCTCACCTCCCCTTTACCCCTCACCTCCTCTTTACCCCTCACCTGCCCTTCACCCCTCACCTCCCCTTCACCCTTCACCTCCCCTTCACCCCTCACTTCCCCTTCTCTCCTCACCTCCGCTTCATCCCCCATCTTCTCTGACTACCATCCAACCTCGCTGCTTTCATGCCACTCTTTGTTTTGTCTGCAGGTTCTGCCCATGCAACAACCACCACAACAACAGCAACAGCAGCAGCAGCAGCAGCAGCAGCAGCAGCAGCAGCAGCAGCAGCAGCAGCAGCAGCAGCAGCAGCAGCAGCAGCAGCAGCAGCAGCAGCAGCAGCAGCAGCAGCAGCAGCAGCAGCAGCAAGCAGTTACTGTGGACTCGGGTCTCCCAACTGCTGCAACAACACACGCTGGAGCTCAGGCGACCAATCCAGAAGCAGCGTCACCAGCAACAGCAGCAGCAGCCTCACCACTTGCACCGCCACCGGTACCAGCAGCAGCACAAGCAGTGGCGGCTGAGGCTGCCAATGAAAACGGTTCGGTGTTTCAGCCTGTGTGTATTGATCCGGGGCACCTTGCTAAGGGGTCCGGTGGAGGGACATTCGCGGAGGTGATTATCAAGGGGGTTTAGGAGGCGAAGAGGATGTGGCCCACTTCCATGAACGAGCTGCTGTACATATCTATCGCATCTAGTCATAGGTGGGTGCTCAAATAGTTGCATGTTTTACGTGTGGAAGAAAAAACAACAATTATCCATCCAGGGGCAGAGATTTTTGTTTCCATGAGCAAGGTGTTTTTTATACCAATCGTATATTTTTGTTTTGTAGTTCCATAAGTTGCATTACGTTTTCATTGCAACCTCTAGGAATTTATATAGCGTAACTCAAACTTGGATTCTCCCTCCCTACATCCGTTTTGCGGAGGTGGAGGCGCCATGTTTTGGCGGGAGAAGTCCATCACCATCAATTTTTGAAACAACAATCCTTGAAGTTGTGAAGCGACGCGAAATGTGGCTCGGTCTGGTAGGAAACCCGACTCGATCAGAAATCAGTATTCCAGGTGGATTTTGGGCGTCGATTCTAGCCTAGTTCCCTGCTACAGTAGCACTGGCCTTCATCAACTGCTTCTTTCTCACCACTGCCTGCTTTTGCCTGCATCGAAGCACCCACACACACTGCCTGTATTTGTTGGCGCCATCCGCCATTGCTGCATTATGCATTCGGCCGTTTACCTTCCATTCCGTCTCGTCCTCCCTTCCCACCCAGGGATCCCTTCTGTTCCCCACTTTCACGTTCAGTCTGGTTTGCTGCTGCTGCTGCTGCTGCTGCTGTGGCTGCCTCTCATCGCAACCCTTGTCCGTCTGTATGTGCATCCACGCGTGCTTGCTTTCCTGTCGAAAGAGGAGGTTGGCGAGGGACATGCCTCGTCTCAACTCTAACCAAACGCCAGTTTCCTTATCCATGAATCGTGAATCGCGATCGCACGTGATTTTCTGTGAATCACACCAGCCTGCTCAGTTCGCACCGTCGCTTCACTCACCTCGTCCGTGTTTCACTTCACACTCATCAGCAGAATTACTCCACATAGTGAGCAATTTAGAGTGAGAAACTGTAGATTACATGTGCCACCACGGGGCGATCTAAGCCAGCTACACCGCCGGCGAAGCATCCTTCAAATCAGCTAGTTTACTGCTTGTGCAGTATCTCCCACGTGCTGCCCTCTGTTTACAGCACAGCAGGTGGCGACTCCGGTTATTCAACCCGCCAAGTCAACTGCTGGCCACGTGGCTGCCAGCAGTTGGATCCGTCACTGCTGCCAGCCACAGAGTGGCTTGTAACAGCACCGTGCAGCCAACAAAACAGCCTAAAAATGCGGCTGTACAGAGATAGGCGATAGTATCCGCTTGTGGTGGCGTAAGCGACTGCTCGATCCGTTGAAAATGCGTTGCTTCGCTAACAGCCTGCCTCGGCTCGACCGCTTCCCCTCTACCCTCCCCCGGCACTCCTCCCCCCAACCCAACCCCCCCTTTTCCCCAAAGCCTGCCTAGGGGCCCGCTCGCCTCAGGGAGCACCTGGCGCGAGCCACGTCGACCCTGTAATGATGTCTGATATGCAGGGGGCGATCACGAAATCACGGATCGGTTGCACAGTACCGCGCGGCGACGATCACGAAGGAAATGATGACTAATTTCCTGGGAAGGGAAGGAAGGGCGATCACGAAGGACATTATGCCTAAATCGCTGGGAAGGGAAAGAAGGGCGATCACGAAGGCGCCGATCAGTTGCAAAGTACCGCGCAGCGACGATCTCGACTAGCGCTGATCGCCCTGAGTTTGAGATATCGCTGATCATCTTCCGCACAAGTTAACGAGCAGACGAGGTTTGAGACGTCTTAAAACTGGCTCTGATCGCCGTGGGTTTGAGATATCGCTGATCATCTTCTGCACAAGTGAATGCGCAGACCAGGTTACTGCTGGAAATCTTCTTTTCAAATCAACGACGTCTTGTTATTGTAGACACCGTATCGTCCAGCGACGGAACCTGGCCAGGAAATTTGTGAATCTCGATTTGCTTTCGCCGGGAATGGACGGCTCGACAGGCGCCGCCGGTTCTTACGCCGCACTTGGCGGCAGCCGCAGGTCGTTGAGTGCGTTACCCCTCTCGACTATCCATGAGGGTGCGAGCCGCTGGCGACGGCGACCATCCATCCATGAGGCGACAACGGCGACGGAATCGTCAGTGGCGCCGTCGTCGCTGCCGTCGTCGTCGTCGTCTGCGACGTCATCGCCGCGAAGGGAGCAGCAGCGCGAAAGCTTGCGACAGCTGCGGGAGCGGATGGCGCAGATCGACCGGCGGCTCGCAATGCGATTGGCGGAAGCCGATGCGGCAACGCGCCGCGGCGCAATGATGACAGTGACCCCCCCGTTTGACTCGCCACTGCATGATGCGGAGCGATCAGCGCATCACCACGATTCGGTATGCCGGATTTTCCCGCTCGGTACAGTCACAAAGCAGCGCAAGAGCTGCTGCGATTTCGACAGCGGCTCTTCAACCAGTAGTAACCCCGAAGCAGCAGCAGCTCTAGTGTTTCCAAAAGCCGCGTCCGACCCTGGGCCAGACCCGCTTCCGCGAGCCGCTTCGCTAGGAACTGTCAGAAGACGCCATCCTTTCCGTGTTCCAGGTGGGGAAACCCTAAATGCGGCAGGATCGACGCGGCTGCTTGCAGGGACGCGGAGTGGCCCGGCGACAGTGGTAACTTCGACCGACGGTCACCGTGACTTCTCCGCGTCACGCCCCGCTAACGCAGCAGGCGGCCGTGCGATTGCTCACGACGCGGTTTCGGATGAAACGCTGATTGCTATCGCGGCAAATAGGGTATCTAGAATCGGCAAAGGCGGCGGACACTTGGAGGCTAAATTGGCTGGGCATAAGCGATCGTCGCCTCACCCTGGCAGCGAGGCGCCCCTTTTTATTGAAAGCAGCGGGGATGTCTTAAAGCTCGAAAACTCTAGCAACTCCCTCTTACCGCCGGAGTTCGAAGGGGCCGAGCGCTATGTGCGGAGGGTAGCAGGTGCTATGGATACAGGTGGAGGTGTGCGGCTGTTCGGTAGAGAGGAGTGCCCAAGTGTTGACGGCCTGAAGTTTTCCAGCTGGGAGGCTGCTGTTACAGCATTAGTAATATCAACGCTAGTGGGAATTTTGATTATAACTTTTGTTACCCTTCTCCTGCCATGGTAGGCAG